GGGGAGGGAAAAGGACCAGGGGGAGAAGGGTTTGGGGCTGGGACCAGGCAGGGATCAGGAGGAAGCCGAGCCAAGCCAAGCTGGGCCCAGGATTGGGATCGAGGCTGGGGCCCGCTGAGCCCATGTGGCTGCCCCTTCCCCTGTGCCAAGGGTTGTTGCTCAGTGCTGGCACCACCCGTGCCAATGAATCTATCACCTCCCCCTAGCCTCACACTGGCCCTGGCTGCCTCTGTAGTGGCCTCAGTCCTGCAGTGCCTGGGGGGCCCAGAGCCAGGGGCCAGAGTGGGGCCAGCCTAGGCTGCGCTGCCAGGCTGGAGGGGATGGAGCCCCTGGGACCCCCACACCCACCCTGCCAGGCCCTGCACGGCTAGGGCAGGGTGGGGCATGGGATGATGCTGCATCTTGTTTCAGGGGTGCGGAGAGGGGTGACAACTCCAGCCGCTGCACACATCCTGGGAGGCACGGGGGGGCATGTGCTCCATCATCTGCACGGGGCAGGGCAGGATGCTGTTGCAGGCTGGGGCTGGGGCAGTGCCAAGCTGTTCCCATTGGGGGGTGGCTGCGCTGCACTCCAGGTGGGCGGCAGTGGCACTGGGACTGGTTCGCCTCACTGCCTGGCCCACCCAGTGGCAGGACACACGTGGTGCCACACCGCTTTCAAAACAGCAGCAGCAAGGCACAGAGGCAGGGAGCAGAGCCCAGCCCGCAGCTGCAGCCCACCCTTGCCCTGTGCACAGACCTAGGGGTCATGTGCCTCCCCCTCCCTCCCCATACACACACACAGTGAATGGGACCCTGGCCAGGCCAGGTCATGGGACAGTCCCCACAGTGCAGAGGGAGCAGGGCAGGGGCAGGGGTAAATGATTCACCCCTGCCCGCACTCCCTCCTGCACTGTGGGGGTCTTGATCTGCTCCCCCCCACACACACAACCCAGGTAGTCATGAAGAAAGTAGATTGAAATAAATTTACCTGCCTGCTGGGACAGCTGCAGTCCTGGCTTCACAGAGTATCTGAGTGTGCATGCCCCTTCCCCTCTGCTGCAGCAGTTTGGAGGGCTGAGCCCTGGTAGTTCCTCTGCAGCCAGACTGCTGTCCTCTAATCACAGCAGGACTGGCCACCAGAGGCTTCTGCTCTAGCTACTCCCCTACATATCCTTGAACCCAAGTGTCTGCACCCAGAGTGCTTCAGGGAGGACCTGAAGAAGTTCCTGGGGTTTCTGAATCAGTGCTGCCTCTGGTTCATACTTTGCCCCTATGCCTACCCCACAGATCAGGCCAAGGTGGGATTGTTTATCAGCCTGCTCATGGGGAGTTCCCTGGCCTGGGCATCCATGCTTTTGGATGCCTCCAGTCCCCTCTTGAGTAACCTGGAAGGACTCTTGCAGGCTATATCCTCGTCTATCGGATTAACAAGAGATGAGAGCTGAATTTATCCAGCAGAGGTGCCTTCAGCTCACAAGTCAGTAGTTCGGTCAGAGTTGGCAGGACTACAAAAAGTGCTTTGTTAGCCAGCTCTTTGTCCATGCAGGGTATGGAACTATACATGCATGCCAGTATTCAAAACTTGCAGAACAATCTCTTGGGCTTGTAAATTGTACGTCCTGGCTGCCAAAGCTTAAAAATAAGGCACCTAGAAGGCCAATCTAGATTTTGCCATTTTTTTTCCACTGTCTTCAATAGGTTCTGGGCCTAACCTGAAAACAAGAATTGCAGAGAAGAAATTTTATTTCATAAAGGGGAACATAGTTATTTCCAGGTCAAAATTATTAACTGTTACATATAGAACACAGAACTTGGTTGGAAAGGTTTATTCTGGTTCATCTTCAGAAATTCTAAGGTGTTGTGTAAGTACAGCTTTAAGATGCATTGTGAAGCAAAGAAAGGAACTCAGTTCTTCAATAAGATTTAACTTTTATTTAAAAATCTCATTTAACAGAACTCTCCCAGTAATATGAGCATGAGTAATCAGCCTGGCACTCCCCGGGATGACGGTGAAATGGGTGGAAACTTTCTAAACCCTTTTCAGAGTGAGAGTGTAAGTATCTTTTTGATTCTTCTGTTTGGCAAACACTGAGTCACTAGCCTTATCCTCTGTGTTATCTGTATATTTTTACTAGATCCTAATATTATAATATGGATCTGCTGAACAAACAGTTGTGCTAAATAATGTCAGTAAATTTAGAGCCAAGAGACAGAGTTACTACAGAAATCCATGATTAGTGGATGAAAATTAGATGTACATCAGTATTATCCTAGATTCACACACATACTTATTTGGTAATGAATGATGGGATGTGCATTTGTCAGTTAAAATCTAAACAGTGTAGACATGAATATTCAGCCAGTGATTCAAAAGCAGTCTCTGAGGTGGGATGTGTCAGTTTGCGGCTGTCCAACTTTTCACCTTCCTTGATAGTATATTTTGTAAAGTAGGAATGTCTTTCAAAACATGATCCACACTTAAGTACCAGAAAATCTATAAGATTTTATAAAAAGCCATGATGTAGTTTTAGGTACAGGAAAGCAAACACCCCCTCTAGTGTTTATTATGTGACAAATGAGACTTTTCATAAAAGTGCCAAATCTTGAGGCTAAACAAATATTGTTTACAATACTAAACTATTTTAAATCAAGAAAATAGTGAGGAACACTTTCATATCCAGGTGCCTAAAGTTAGATTTCTAAATCCATATTTTGGTTCCTATATAGAAGTGGCCTGATTTTTCAGAAGTGCTGAGTGGCTTCGGAACTCGTATTCTGACTGGAATTAACTTCTGTCAGAACCACATGCAATTCCATTAATTATGCCAATGCAGAATTTAGCCCAGTTTCTATGAAGACTGAATGTTGTTTCTTCTAATTCATACCATAGCCAAAATCCTCAGCATGTTTTATGAAATACAGATTAAATTTTTATTTTGCTTCTTCAGCAAACATACAAATATGAAGAATGATCAATTTTCTATATTTTAGGCATCTACTGTTCAATAAGTTTGAACAAAAGCTCTTCAGCTAGAGAGGTATGTTTCAAAATTTGCAAAAGAGTAGTAATTAAACCGCATCAGATTTGATTTATAGTCATGGCAGTGCTTGACTCTAAATTCAGCTTACTCAACTTGTACTGTATGCCAACAATCTGACTGAACAGACAGAAGCCAGTCCACTAAATTAGGCTCATTAAAAGAATAACAAGTAGTATCAGTTATATGCCACAGAAAATTGGTTCTCTCAGACATTCCTGTATGCTTAATGGTTTTAGCTACTGTTTTTTTTACCTGAATCAATTCCTGATCTGGCTTGTAGAAGATTTTGCTACACCTCTTACTGTACTTCAAGATGCCTGTCTCACTCACAAGCCAGAGTTTAGTTTCTTGAGCCTCTGTAATCCTTTCTTAACCACCCCTGCCACTTCTTTTCTTGGCTGCTTAGAAAGAATATTATCAGTGAGATAAATTCTGAGTTTTTTCCTCAGGCAAAATTCCCATTCAGTTCACCAGGAGTTCTGAATCAAAATAAGGACAGCAGTAGTAGTGATAATGTGATTACTATTACTATGTTGTGGTATGATTGAATCATTATAATTACAATTATATATAATTAATGTATATTTAATAAAATAATACAAGTAGTAGTAGTAATAGCAGCAATTTGTACGGTACTTAATCTGTATATAAACAAAGAATTTATTCCCTGGCCCAAATGTGTATGCTGTTGTTGCATACTCTGGTTGTAATCCAAAAATCTTTAAGACATTTCCTATCTTTAAACACCTGAGTGGTCCTTTTCAATGACTTACATGCTTAAGGCTTTATTGAATAAGCTTTGCTGAATCCAAGTGAGAGTCTGCAGCACCTGGCAAAAGCAAGACCCAAAACAGACAAGATCAACAAAGAAAAGAAGAGACCTCAGGCAAACTAGGTTTCCTCCAGTTAGTCTGTTCGAAGCAGTTTGCATTAGGGCTAGGTACAGGCAGTCAAAAAGCCCAAGGCTGAATCATTTTAATCTTCGCAGGTTAGTCTACACTGTGTAGATTGAACTGATAAGCAAGTGAACAGACATTCACTTTTGATTCTGGAAATGCAGTCACATGACTGCAGTGGCCCAGGCCAGAAACTGCAGGGGTGGTGGGAGGGCGGCACTAGAACACGCCTCTCTGCTTAGCTGGAGCAGACAGCTTCGGCCAAGGCTAGCCCGCCTGCCCTGCAAAGGGGTGGGGAGGAGTGTTTATGGGGGAGGTGCAAAGCATTCTGGGGTACTGGAGGACTGCTGAGTTAACTTGAATCTGGAGGGGATCTGGGACACAAGTTCAATAAACCGATTTAACCTAAATCAGTTAAGTCTGATACTACATCCATCCAGGTTTATCTTAAACCAGTTTCAGCCATTTTGAAAGTGGTTTATGTGCACTTGAACTTCTGTTGTATCATAGATTTGAATCAGTTTCTGATCACTTATAATGGTTTATGTGTAATTTCTGTCCCTAGCCAAGAAGTATGACTTAACCAAAACACTGGTTCTGAAAACTTTGGAACCTGGAGAATAGGCAGACCCAGAGATTTATACTTTAGCTGCTTTCTGATTATGTATCAGCATGTAGAAAGGCAAAATTAATGTTTTTGCTATATCTCACAGACAATTCCAATGAAGAAAACACTGAGATTACTGGAGGCTTTGTGGTATCTCATCAGTAACTTGTGATGAGGTACTGTTACTTTGAGGAAGGCTGTAGCTTGCAACAGGGCTGCAGTTCAGTATGTGTTAAAATAATAAGGCAATATAATGTGATGGCAGGATTTTTAGTTAATAGAAAAAGCATAATTACTGATATTTGATATAGCCAACTTCTGAAAGATTAAGCCAAAGCCTAATTTCATTTCAGTAAGGCATTTTTCCAACACCTTTCCCCACAAGTAGCGAAATGCCAACTCCAGTGGTGTGAATACCCAGCTACAATGCTCCGCAAGCATATCTGCCATCAGCTTATGCATATACCCTAAGTAGCCCCAGCACTAACTAGTGGAGAGCAAGTCAGGGCACTTAAGGAAGAGCTGCTATAATTGCATCAGCCAGGCAGTATCAGCAAATGCTAACATTTATTTTCTGCTCATGATTTACTTATTCATTTCATAAGTTTTGTTGTAATTTAGATGGAAAGAAATTTAAATACATAATTAATTATTGTAGCACAAACTGAACAACAGTCCTGACAAATTTAAAAGGATAAAAATAAAAGAGCAATGAATTGAAATTCAAATTCATTGTTTTGTTCCAGAAGCGAATGTAGTGGCCTGTGAAAGAATTGTTAAAATGTGGATTCCTCTTTTCCAGTACTCCCCTAGCATGACAATGAGTGTGTGATCCATTACCAAGTCTCCTCATGAAGACCGCAGTGAGTTGGCCCTCTTCAGAGAGCTACTACAGAAGAAAATTACTCGTCCCAGTGTACAGTTTAACAAAAGGATCTCAGACACAATCAGACCCACCATTTTTCCTACCATCTCCCCAGTTTTGTCAAGAAAGTGGGTCCAAAAATGATTCCAACAACTGTAAAGAGTGGCATAAGAGAACTGCCCAAGACTGAACTGCAAACAATTTTCTGTGTATGTACATGTACGGGTAGATGTATATATGTGTGCCTGTGTGCTTGTGTGTGCACTATATAGACATACACACACACACATACATATATAGACCCGCAGGACATTGTAAAATATTATCACATGACATCTTAAGTAGAAATAAGAAGTAGGGACTTTTATTCCATCTTTTTTTCACGTTTACATTTTAACTATTAAAATTTGCTTTCCCTCTCCCCTTCTGAACTGTTTTGTGCTGCATATATCACTGCTTTATAAGTTATTTTTTAAGGTGAACTCAAATGATAAATTGTCTGATTTTGTAAATGTCTGCCATTATGGATAGGAATAAAATTGCTTATAAGAGGGCTTTCATTAACTTGTGTTTGATACCAGTTATCCTGTGAATCACATTCTGTGCTGTCTCAAGAAATAGAAGAAAGCTCATTTTAATTTTTTGGAGAAATTTAATAATTTTTCATCAAGCCTTGGTGACATTTTTTATACTTTGCCTTTAAAAAAAGAAGCACTGATGGTTATTTTCTTCCTTAATTGAAGCCTAATTATCTGCAATATCTATTTTAAATGGAAGCCTGAATTTGATACAAGCTTCTTGGTTTATACAGAGTACTTTAAGGTTGCTGTAAGTGAGTTCCAGTTGCTATAGAATCTAGCAATAAAGTGTCAGGGCTGCTCTGCCCTTGGAAATGAGTTTTCTACTTAGCATGATCTTCCGTAGGGGTGGTAGTTAGTAGAAATACAGTAGAATTCTTACTACTGAAACCTCCTTTTCTAACAAACTGCTGGTGTCCCTCCCTTTTCTACTGATTCTTAGCTGATCCCCAATTAGCCATAGTCCTGATTGTCTTAACATACTTCGTGTCTCCCAAGCCATTCAGATAATCAGGACTCCACCGTACATGAATGTGTTACTTTTCACTAGAAATACTGGAACAGAACTTCTCAAAATCTTTCTGTATGTGTAATCATATAGGTAAACCAAAATGCCTGAGCATTTCATGGTTATGACCCATGCTGAGAGCATTGGAAGGCTCAAGCTTTTCTGCCAGATATAAGATGTCAACAGAGGTCTGAACCCATTCTGTAAGGAGTTCAGTATACTGTATTTCAAAGCTGTGGAGATAGTGGAAAAAAGGAGAATGGTGATACGGCTTCCTTAACACAAAAAAAAAGCCTTTTGAAGGAGACTTCCTTAAAGTGAAGCTCTAACTTCTGAGGACCTGAGGTTATGTTAAATTTAGCGCCCTATGACTCCCACGTTTCCCAAGAAAATGAAAGATTGCAGCTGTATGTATGGTGTTAGGAAGGCTGATGTTCAGGATCTCAGGCACAAAGTGGCTGAATTAAACTCACTCCACAGGTTTAGAACAAAGTTCTCATCTTTGCATGTGGGAGGTCCAGATACATAGGCAGAGAAGAGCATCAAGTACAGTGCTCATAGGAAGATTTATAAGAAGAATTTTGCCCTTAAATTTTAATGAAGGGTTGCATGTAATGGGCTCAGTGGGCTAGCAGATGCCCATCACTGCTTGTGTCAACTCCCTGCATGTATATATAAATAAAGATATAATGTTTTTACTCCATTGCTGGCATTATACAAACACAAAACTCTTCTTAGATACCAGGTACCTTGAAATATTGTTAACATTTTAAAGATTTTAAGAGAAAGTAATTTTTAGTTACAAATAACTTTTAAAATGACTTTGAATTAAGTGAAAGTATTCATATGGTATCACTAACTTTCTTCCCAATAATTATTATTTATTTTTTGAAAACAGGTCAGTTTTTATTCTTTTGAAGGATCCCAGCAGCACTATGATCAGTTTTACTTACACAAAATGCAAAATGAAACCTTAATCCTGCAAACACTTACACATGTATTTAACCTTATTACTGTGAGGCGTGCAGGGATTTCAGTCGGGCAAAGTAAAGTGGGGTTGTGGCCTTAATATTTATCACATAAATGACAGAACTTTTTGTGAGTTTTACATTACCAGCAAGAGTTTAGTTTATAGTGGGGAATACACCTGAGCATTAAATAAAATTGTGCAATGTAGAGAGCAGAACAGAAATGCATCCTTTTTTCAGTTTCCAGTGCTGTGATTTTAAATGTAAAATCTTTGTCAAAATATTTTCTCATAATTTCACTCCAATAGCATGAGATACTTCCAGAAACATAGTGATTCTTTATGACCCTCCCTCCCCTGCCATGTCCCACTTGCAGCATGTCATCAACTTTGCATAATAGGATAGATCCTGCACGATTCAAGTCATTCAAATAAAAAATGGCAAAGAGGGCAGGATCAGGCCCTGCATCACTTCAGTTAGAATTACAGGGCAGGATCTTGCAGTGTGTTAAACATGTAAAATAACATTTTGCACTCAGGTAGTCAGCCTAATAGATTTTGATGGGACCCCACAAAAGTGTGAGCTGTGTGAGGAGCCAGGCTCAGCTGGAGACAGCAGCAGTGGCAGCAAAGCCAATTCCCCCTCCTTGCACCTGCTTCCAGGCTGGCAGGGAGTACCCAGGGCAATCAGGCAAGGAGGAAAAACTTGCCTGTTGCACTGCTGCCACAGCAACAGACAAGGAAACAGGCAATGGGAGGGGAGGGGAGATGCTGCTGAGCATGGAGGGGAAGAGAAGAGGTTCTGAGTGTGAGGGAGGGATTCTTACCTGCATTGGGGGAGATCAAAAGTCTTTGGCTGCTGCTCCCACAGTGTGGTCTGCCTGTCCCGCTGTGAGGTTGGGGGAAGCTGGGAGTGGCAGTACAGCCACCCCTGCAGCACAGATTCCTGCTCCCACACCCACCTTTACACCCACCTGGATCTGCCCATGCTTACATTTCTGCAAGATCAGGGCTGTAGCTATATTTCATTATCCAACCCATCTCTTGAGTTCTAATAGCACATTTCATCACACATAACTAGTAATGATCGCCACTACTCTCCCCTTGCTTTCATAGGGACTGAACTTGCAGGTGATCCATTACTATACACGTGAATAAAGTTATGCATATGCATGTTGGAAAAACAATATTTATTTGCAATAAAAACACACAGGATATTATTTATATGTGCGAAATATGCAGTTAATACAAGGACAACTTTAGCTTTGAAAGTACTGTAGGGTTGGTTGGTTGTTTGCTTGTTTTCTTGCATACTTTCCTTGCTTACAAAGTCCTTGTAGGAGTTTGCAATACTAAGAAAAAATGAACATGGCAAGAAAAATTACTTGAGAACTAAATTTTTTTCTTCCTACCTGTGTTTCTAATGCACTGGAAGTCTACATGCAGTGTAGCTGCTTTTGGTTTCTATGTTTATGCCTCAACATTGCTGATAAGAGCAGACAGAACTTGTCCAGTACTAGGAGTAATGAGAACTCAGCTGGAGCCCATGAATTTTCACAGTGCATTTTAAGAGTTTTCTTTTTATATGTGTGATGAATAGGACATATTTTTCTTACCATTTTTTTCAATTAAAATTTTTAAAATAGAAGAGGTAGAATCTCATATGGAATAGAAGAATTAGGGAGTAATGGATTTTCTTCCTCTATAGAAATTCCAGTAAAAATCCTGGCTCTCTAGAAGTCACTTGGAGTCTTGTCATTGACTTCAGTAGTGCCAAAACTTCACTTTCTTTGTGAATATGTGAAAAGTAACTTTCACATCTGTATCTTATTTTCACATGTAGGTTTTGTGTAAACAATATTGCCGTTTTTGTGCTTATTAAAAAATGAGGAAGAAAGGTAGCTGCTTGAATGACAAGTATATTATGTAGCCTGAAATGTACATTGAAAAGTATCTTAATATTTTTATATAAAAGTAAGGCATTTAAATGATTTTACTAGTAATTTCTGAGTATGAGGAAGAACTGAGATTAATTTAGAGCTCATGAAAGATGCTGCTCTAATAGCCCTTAGGACCCATTTTTTTGAGCTCCACACACCCCAGTAATGTGCCTCACCCTGGATCTGGAAGGACTTCTGCTTAAAAGTGAGAAAATAGTTCAGTCTCCTTTAAGTTGTTACTATCTGTTGGCTGCATGCCATAGTTACCAATTTTCATTTTAAAACTTGCTCAGCTCATTATACGGAGAAACATAGTGACCAACTTTCAATTATACCCAACCTCTGCTGTGGCCCAGAAGGGTACCATATCCCATTGCCACTTGCCAGCCCCCTGAGACACCCACTAACTCTCTACCCTCCCACACACGCAAACACACACTTTTGTGGTTTAAAGCAAAATACTGTAGGATAATTATTTTGAATAATTCAAGTTAGGCATAGGTGAAGGAAGGCTTCTTCTGCATGGATAGCAACCTGGAAGCTTTTTATCAGAAGGATAACAGCCTCATTAAGTGTCTAAAACACACTTGAATTTTCCCCCGTCTCATGATTAGCAAATGAAATACTGTACGTAAGGAGGACTTGAAATTAGATGGGTAATTTAATGAGGGACCAGCTGTTACAATATTCAGAGTTGCACATTTTATTCTTTTTTCTCTTTACTTGATTAAATGAATTTTCAACTATTGCACTGATTTCTATGTCCTTGACCAGTAAATAATTTTTAAGCATTACAGTCCATTCCTCCAATTCCTAGACATCCTTCATATTTGCTGTTGTTGCTGTTAAAGGTGTTGGCCAAACTGTGCAAGATTTGGCCCTATGCATTTGAAGTGGAGAGAACCATAAATGTAAAACTTAATACATTGAGAAATTGTCAGTGTAGGTAACTATATCATCCTTTAAATCATTCCAAGTAATGATACTTATAAGACCAGCTCCCATTTCAAATCAGTCTGGATTCGTGTGGAGTTTAAAAGATGGAATTCTTGCTGAAGTACATATATTCCAAATAAAAAATAATTTATTCCCTTTTCTAGAGTGACAATTAGTTTCTCTTCAAGCTGATGTTTGCAACAATTAAAATAGCAAATTATCATACCAAGGATCTAACTCAGTATTTCATGGTATAAAAGAAGATATAAAAAATTCCATTCAGTCCTCAAATTTAAGCTACTTCTAAATAGTGTGTGCAGCTTCTTCTTCTCCCCACCCCAATAATATTGTCCTGGGCTTGCAGGCCTCTGCTTATGAAAGTTGTCCCACTGACACAGTAACAGTCTCACATAACTCGTATAATTATGTAACTCATATATCTTACATAAATGTGAGAGCTAAAGGTTTGCTGGATTGCACGCCGAACTGCACCTCCAACATTTATTTAACATATGATCTTATTCAGCAGGTGCCTACCCTTGATGTACACACAGCAGATTGAAAGGGCATGTTACAATCAACCAAATGACGTTTCAAGCTGAAAGAAAAAGGGAGAATCGGATGAGCTCTTCATATTCGCCAAGCATTGCTTGAGTGCATGCATTCATTCATTTTCATTTTCATAATCTTTATATCTTAAGTGACAGTAATAAATTTAGAATTCACCAAAGGACCATCCACTCAGAGACTTGTTAAAAACCCTGATCCTAGGAACACTTGCACAATTTTTTTTTATTTAAGGCATGCAAGTGCTTAATTTTAAGCACCTGAACAATCTAATTGAAGACAATGGGACTACTCAAATGCATGTGTATGTATTTGCAAGAGCCTGAAATATTAATTATTGAGTCTTCTTTGAAATTTTAGCAATCCCCAGGTGTACTTATGTATTAACATCGTTGATGTCTGGAATAGGAGTTGGCTTTCTTCTGTTTCTTAATTTATTAGACAACTATCCAGTGCTACCTAAAACATTTCTGTGAACTTGCCCTCTCATTTTATTTCAAATTGTTCATTCACTTCCATTAAAACAACTTAAAAGCCTTGCAATATATATCCAAACTCATATTTGGTCACTGTTCATAATTTAAGTATAAAATATGTAAGGAAGCCTCTCATGAAATGGAAAAACTTTCCATAAAAATGTATAAAGGTGTTTTTCCTTTCCTGGGTACATGTTTTCACATTTAATAAAAATACAGTTTTCATTTGTAACCTGAAACTTTCAGTTTTTGGCCACTGTTTAATTTGTGTGTGCAAAAGAGGTTGATAAAACAAATTGCATTGTTTCATTTGGATTCAGCATAATAAATACTTGCTGAATGAGAAACCAGCTCAAAACAAGATTTACTTCATTATCATTATGAATAAGGAAGTTG